TATATATATATATATATATATTAGAATATATAGGAAAATTTTTCTGTCTTTTTATTGTATTTTTATCTTAAAAAGGTACAAATCCCAACGAGACAATCGAATAAATCTACTAGTGGTGTAGCTACAGTTTCAACAGTTACAAAGAAAGTCGATAGTATTATAAAAGAATTGCAAGATAATTGCTATGCCGAGTTGATGATGATAATACGAGGTATCGCTAGTACGTTGGATGTTTCTGCTTCTTCTATTATGAATATGGTAGCTGTCAGAGCTATGAGCCAGCGTTTACCAGAAACCGAAGAATCCATGTTACAAATACCACACGTCACTAAGGCTAACTTTGTTAAATATGGCAAAGCTCTTTTAAATATTACGCAGAAATACGCGAAAGAAAAAACTGGTATGATTACATATAACTTGCATATAATTTGTGTAAAGTAATACTTTATTGATTATTCTATTATTTTTTTTAGAATTGTTGAATGTAAATGATGAAGATAAGAATAATGATGATAATGATAGCACCTGGGATGACAATGATTCTAATTATTCTTATAGCAATAATACTAATAATAGCAAGAAACGAAAGATGAGCAATAGATCTAATAGTACTAATAAAAAATATAAACGAGGTGGTTTCAGGTAATATAAAAATAAATATATATGTGTGCATATGTTATTTTTCTCGTTATATACAATATACATAATGGTTATATTAATTAGCAAAAAATACGCGTGCACACATATGTTTTAGAAAGGATTCATAAGTTTTATACATAATTATATATTTTTACATTTGTAGTGCAAGAAGGGGAAAAAGTTCATTGAGAAACTCATCAAAAGGTTCAACAAAATATAATACTACAAAAAAGACAGTAGGACTTGCAAGTTTCAGTCAAAGTAAACAGTATCTGGCAAATCCTAACAGATATATGAATATTGTTTGATTAATTCTTTCAATTACAAATTATTTATGGCATTTGCAATAGTATATATCACACAATTCTTGTATATATGTTGGGAGAGGTGAAAGTCGTATGACCATGTGATTAATCAGAAATCTCTCACAGCACTCGGTTTGTGGAAAGATTCTAGGCATCGATTTTTACGAGTGACTGTCGATCGCAACATGGATCGCAAATGGAGATACTCCCGCTTGGGATAGGTGATATCCGAAATTCTGTATGACATTTAGACATTTTATTGAACGAATTTGATAAGCATTGTAAATTCATTTTTGTATCCAAGTAATCACCAAACATGTATGTGAAATAAGTCTTTCGTAATAAAATATTGTTAAGACGTGATTTTGTTAAATATTGGATAAATTATATAAATATAGTCCTTCATCAGTGTCTTAAAATTAAAATAAAATTAAAATAGATGTATGCACTAATAGAATTACCTAAAAATTTGTTACAAATGATGTTTTCAATAATTCTTTATTGTTTATCATGATTTGTACTTAAAATTAATACAGGTTTATATTCAAAATCTAGATTATTATATCTACTAAGTATACATTAGGTTAGGTCCTTTTAATGCTGTTGCTATATTAATATTGAATTCCGAAGTATAGAGTCCCTAGAGGATTCTACACTGCGCCAGTGCTGAAACTATACAGTATAAGTTATGTGGACTATAGACTTTCAGTACTGCGAATATCAAAACATACCTATAATATATTATTTATAAATCTGGTTGCATTATCCTAGCTTGTCGATCTTCATTCTTAATATGATTTTTCAGTAAGTCCATCACTTCATTATCAAATTCAGGTGGAGTTGGTTTGACACCAGTCGCCCAATAGAATATATCCCAATCGTTGGATGGTAAATTTATAAGTTGATCATATAATCTTAATTGTTTATCATCAAACGTATTCAAATATTTGTTTGCAAAAGTACTAAGAAGTATACCATTTTCCAACATGCCACGTTTACGAGATTGATATGTCAATCTAAATTGACAATGAAAAATAATAGAATGAGTCTCGTCATGAGAACAAAAATTTTATTTGCAACAAAAAATTTTATTTGCAAATCAATTGTAAATGTATTTGCATAAATAATTATGACAAAATATGATATTAAGTAAATCTTAATTCAGTTATATATTACAGTTTTATTACAGATTGTAAAAAAACATTATAACATGCACAATACAAACAAGGTCGAAAAAAGTTTATTGCTGATTCTGCAATGAATCAGTAGTCGGAAATCTTAACCAGTTTTAACCTAAATTAGTGATTATGATTTTTCGCATCTACACTAGTCGTTAGTTGTACAGCGAGTCGTTTAGCTCGACTAATGGGAAAAAATAAAGTCAAATTTGGTTAATCTTAAGAAAATCAGTAGTCTTACAATTAAATTAGTCAGCTTTACTGATTCACTGATAAGACTTAAGATTACTACCGACTCATTGTAGAATCGACTAGTATCTTTAGATTAGAATCGGTAGAACTATTAGATATATACTATAGATTGTAAAAAAATTTTGAATGATACCGTGCTCGTTTGAGATTGGCATTTTCTCCTTCTCGTTCCACATAATGTGGAATATCGGGCTCTCGACCTTCCGGATGAATTAAATTATTATCTTGAAAATTGTCTTTTCGCTTACAACTATATATTGACACATCTCTCATAAGCGATCCAATCTGTTAGAGAGAGAAGTATTATTTATTTATGTATATGTGTGTGTGTGTGTGTGTGTGTGTGTGTGTGTGTGTGTGTGTGTGTGTGTGTGTGTGTGTAATTACATATTTAATAAAAAACTTTATTTACGTGTTTTCAAGGTTAAGGTTTATATATTTAATATTAAGAATTGCGTTAATTGATAACCAGTATTGATTTCTATCGTCTATACTTTATGTTATTATCATATTTCTAAGTTATTCAATTAAAGATAAAAAACTTATTAGTTTTGTATTAGTTTGTAATTTATCCACGCGTTTGTTTATTCAATATCTCCAAACTTACGCGAGATGTAACACGACTGTATACAATATTCATTATCGAATAAATCGTGGAAATCGTGCAAATACAACAAATATAACCTTGCAATTACGGAAAAAGTAGAGTCCCATATATAAGAGAAATGACATTCATCCTTACTATCATAATAATAATATCTTGACTCCGACTACAAGTTGAGTCGATATGGCCAGAATCAGAAATTGCTGCCGGAGACGGCGGGACTCGAAAGTAGCATAGAGTAATCGATCAAGTTAAGAGGGAAGCATAAGCTCCATATATGGCAAAAGTTCCCAGAGTGATCGTGAGAGCGAGCCCGGCTGGGGAGTTTTAAATGTTGAGGTTGTTTGATTTGAGAAATGATAAAAGCAAACGATATAATTTAGAGAAAGAGTTTTTGAAGAGGGGGAAGTTAGGACTTACGGATGCGTATGAATAAAAACTATTAATATATGTAATAAGTTTGTCATCTTTAGGAGAAATGAGCGGACATGAGAAAATAATGTGATTTATATCCTGAGTAGGATCTTTGCAGGGACAGCCTTAGTTGCAACAATATTTTTTTCTCTGAAAGCTGTAGTGAAGCTGTAATGGTTTGCACGGTTGATTAAGACAATTTCCTCTCTTTTGAAAAAGTGTTATTGAATCATGGTTTGGCTTGAAAAAATTGTTCATAATGTAGGCCTTTCCAAATTCCTCATCAAGATAGATTCTGTATTGCTCCGCAGCAGAACTTCTAGCTTCTGAACCTCACTACCATCTCTATGTTCAGTACCGCCACGTTAACCCTCATTCCAGTTAACCAATTCCATCATACTTCAATGAGTGCATTCAGTATTACAATCTCTTACTGAGCGCCAGTGAGCTCTTGCAGCTGATTGGGATATTCCCAATTCCCAGTTAGTACAAATATATACTAATGATGTACAAATATATACTAAATAGACAAGAGCTCAATGAGCGGTCATATGGTTTCTGCACACTGAACGCGGAAACGTTTGCCGCGCGACAAAATGCGTCAAAGCTTTTGGCGGTAGCCAATAAGCTTACAGCTCCTAATGTGTTCATTGGTTATCGCGTTTCATTTCAACGCGTTTCCGCGTCTAGCATGCCAAGGAGCCAATAATACTGAACATACTCCTTGAGTGTACCCCATTATATTATATATAATGGGATAAATGGGTACACTCAAGGAGTACGTTCAGTATTATTGTGATTAAAGTGTTGCTATAAATGTTTTAAAGCATTTGATGGACCAATTAGAAGAAAGAATTTTATAAACTGACCAATTAAAAAATGTTTCAAAGTGTTTGCAGCAATGCGTTGACCCAAAGGCTTAAATGCAGTGGCTCGTATTCAGATCACGCTTACAACAATGTTAGCGCGCTAACATGTTATAATTTACGTTACGCATACTATAGAATTTCAGAGATAGAAGCCCATTCTGAATATGGAGTTATGCGTTATGAAAAGCCGGAATCGACTACAGACTATGCATTGAAAAATGAAATTGAAGATGGAGAGATTGAAGTTTGATCAATCAGAGAGGAGCCAAAACTTCTTTGTTCTCATTGGTGAAATTTCAATTTTTAATCTTTAATCTCAATCTTTAATGTATAGTCTGATTCGGCCTAAAGCCCAATGTCCACGATGCTACAACTCGATCCAAGTTCTCGGATTGAGAAAGTCAATGTGTAGCCAATCAGATTATGAAAAACCGGCAAGTTGATTGGTTACACATTTCTCGATCCGAGAACTCGAATCGATTTCTAGCATCGTGGACGTTGGGTCTAAGAATCTGTGCTCCCCGTTTAAGAATACAAGAAACGTTAGCTGGAACGTTTACGTAGCAATTGTAGCATTTGAAATAATAATGGAGCTAATTGGAGCGTTCAGAGCATTTGGAAGAAGTGGATTGCAGCCGTAGATACCGCCTCTTTCATCTGATTGGATTATTCTATTAGATCCTAAAATATAGACCAATCAGATGAAAGAGCTCCCTGAAGAGCGGAGCTCCCTCAGCAGAGCTCAGTGAGCAGTTGCGCATCTGGATGAACTTTATAAATCAATGGTTTCATCAGCTGATAATGACAAGCCGACTATTGACATCGATGTGCCAAAGTTGAAGGCTTGTGAATCACAACGATGATAGCATCCAACAACAAATCTGAAATTTTCACCATGATTTGATGGCACACGTACAATAATGAGTATGCAGCTGTTTGCTTTTACACCTCCGAGTAAACAACGGTAAAATAATTGCGTTTGTATATTCAAAGTCGGGTTTCAAGTATAAAAAGATTAGTGCTCAAATCAGTTGCTCAAAAATATGTTACCGCGTGGTTATTGAAACATACGAGTTCGCTCGCATCATCCGTTCTCGATGTTGTCAGCGACATATTTAGCTCGTATGTGCCATTTGAAAGTAACACATCGTAGCTCGTTGGCGAGACATGTTCGAAAACCATCTCAACATTTAATTACCTCGAATCTTTATCACCTGCGATAACGAGCTTTTAAACAAAATGTATGATGACTTGATCACCAGCTCCTTCCAGACCATAAATGGGAAAGTGATGGACTACGATAGAAGCATGCATGTACATGTATTCTTATTCTACCTTTTTCTTTTCTCTCTTTCCTTCTTTTTCTTCTCTTCCCATCTCTTTTCTCTTTTCTTCTCTTGTCTTCTCTTTTTTCTTCATTCTTTATTTTTCTTTCTTTTTCTTTTAAATCTTTAAACTCTGTGTAATATATTGTAATAAAAATAATTTTTTCTTGCAGATGGAACATAGGAAGAATGTTGGAATATTCTTTAAATAACATGCCATGTGCAGATTTACAGATATATTATAAATTGAATGAATAAAAAAATGATAGTCTTGTCCTCCTATTGATAAGCTTCTACAAAAATCAGGTGTGTGTGTGTGTGTGTGTGTGTGTGTGTATGTGTGTGTGTGTGTGGAAAAAATTTTGAAAAGGAGAGGTAATCTTTTTTATAAATATCTATCTATCTATAT